GCTGGAAATGCAATAATAAGCTGTAATTTTGTTTTATTTGTAACTCTTTGGTAGATACATTTATAATTTCTATTGCATTACAGTAAGTACTGTTACTGCTAATAAAACAGATCTCTGGGGGCCCCAAAAGTGTGTGGGCCCTTAATTGTCCTAACCTGTCCTGACCTGCCTCTAGTGTTCATTTCAACTGGAAACTGCAGCAATTTGCAATTATAGGTATGTTTTTTTAGTTTTGCTGAAATGTAGCTAGAGGCACGTATTTCAAATGAGCCTGGGTAGCCAAAATGCATACAACGCCACAATCATTTTTTTTTTCTGATTTATCTTGACTTTTATTTATGGGCATGCTCTACATTCGGCATCTCTGTTGGATCTTTTACATAAAACAAACAGTACTTTGAACAACACAAAGCATATTATACAATGCTAAAATTAACCTGTGTAATTCACTCCCTTGCTGCCTGCAAAGGAATCTTTTCCATCTTATCATTTCAGCAGGTGTAGCTTTACTGCATTTGATGAGTTCACATGTAGCTCTTTTGTACTTGCCTGGATACCAGCTCCTTCGGTAACAATGATTTTCCACACACAGTTCAAGCTGTTCCCATAAGGCTCCGGGAACCCGGGGGAGAGGATGGTACCTCTCCTTTCTGTCAGATTCCCGCTGCATGGGACTGTGGAGCAAAACAGAGGCAAAATGAGCTCATGCTGAGGATGGAACAGCACAAGTGCCTGAACTGAGTCCTGTGAGAAAGGCAGCAGACTCCTTTGACACAAGATGAGATTACTCTCGAGGTAGCATGAACCAAAGCCATGATAACCCTGCTTAAACATACATTCTCTGCATGAGAAATGTTTTTCTGGGAACACTTTATATTTCCCAAGAAACAATCTTATGTCTGCCTTTGTAAAGCCTAATTTTTCTAGCTGTAGATAATATTCTAAATTATTAATACGTTAACATGATCGACAGTCAAAACTGACCTTTTTTTAATGCATGCTCCTGGTCTTACTTTGAACAATTCAAAGGTATATGTTACACACACACACACACAGGTTTCCATGTTTTATGGGGACTTGCCATACACAGAATGATTTTTATACTGCACAAACTGAATTTTCTATCCACTAACCCTACCCCCTCACACAAAACTACTGACATTTTTAGATTTTCATTTTGTATGATGTATAAGCTGTATAAACCCAAAAAATTGTCCCCACAATGTAAAAAAAAAAAAAAAATGGTATTATTATCCTTGGGGGGACATTTGGTCCCCATAATGTAATGTAGGGAATACCAGGCACACACACACACACACACATTGGGTTTTCATGTTTTATGGGGTCGTTCCATACACATAATGATTTTTATAATGTACAAACTGTATTTTCTATCACCTTACCCTAACCCTACCCCTCACACAAAACTTTCTGCATTTTTTGATTTTCAAAAAAACTTCATTCTGTATGATTTATTAGCTTGTTTCCTCATGGGGACCAAAAAATGTCCCCACAAGGTCAAAATGTACTGGTAATACTATACTTGTGGGGACATTTGATGTGGGGAATACCAGGTACACACACACATACACCCAATCCCCCCTGGTGTCTGAACCTCACATTTTGAAGAAGGAGGAATATGAGAGGTTTGTTCAAGGCATTCCACTTCTGAATACTTAAAAAATGTAAGGAACCACAAAATGGGATTTACTGAAGCTCTGTGAAATCAAAACTGACCTTTTAATGTACTTTCCTGGAGTGATTCCTTTTCAGATGACGTTAATTCTTTTTTTTTTTTTTTTTTTTTACTGCTCTCCTCCAACCACCTAACACATTCTGTTATGTGATTTTCTCATTGAACATCTTTTTTTTTTCACTCTGAACTAAATTAATATGCCAGATTACAAATTATAGAAGCAAAATGGCTTGGGCAAACTATTTCATGTGGCCTGGGATGTTATAAAGTATGCCATGTATGTTAATCTCTTTCTATTGATGGGTGTTTAAAAATGCAATTAATCAATTTTATGAAAGTATATGTTTTTTTTAAAACAATCTGATTTTTGTAGAAGGTTCTTAAAAGCATGAAACAAACTATATATTTCCTATCTGATGCCTGTGGTATCCCATCTTAAGGATTTGAGATTGTGCACATTCCATTAGTGTTGTCATTCCTGCAGCTCCAGAGCAATTAGTTACATGACATTAATGGCTCAAGCTCTCTGGTATTTTGGACTGACCTCCTTGCATAGAGAACATTGGTTCCAAATGGTGTTTCATGTTGACTTTAATACATGGATGAAAGGGATGAATGTTGCAATTAACAAGCTAAATACATTTAATTTCTATTAATATTTAATAGATATCTACCTTTCAGTTTGTAATTCCTATGAAAAACGGGGAAGTGAGATATGAAAGCAGACTGAAATGAGGACGTTCCTTGGGAGTGATAAATTCGTAACAGCACTATAGAATATGGCGACAGCTAAATGCTCAGTATTAAAGCCTGGAGGTTACGGCTTTGAACTGAAGGCTGTGGCCCAGAGGCCCTTGGATTCAGCACTTAGCCCCTTGAGGATGGCAGTATAGAAGGAAATATTAACTAGAGGCCTGACATTTTAAATCCTCATAGAGGCCACTGCCATTTCATCCTCCAGCAGGATTTTTAACCCTTATTAGTTAGCTCAAGGTTAGTGGAGACCAGAGAAACTCGCACATTTACATTCTCTAAGGACTTGAGAAAATACAGGGCTATAAATCAACATTTGAATGATGGTACCTGTTAGCAAGCATATAAAAGTCAAATGGAATTTGTACTGTCTATGTTGCTCTATTTCTACACGCTGAATTGTTTAGTGCTGAATAAAACATGACTAGTGTGCATTTTTCTTCAATAAATCCAGGCTAGCTTACCTATACAATTCGGGATGGTGTCATTCCACTGCGCCAGAGCGTTAGGGACTACGTGACACTTGATGGCTTTGGATCCCTGGAGGAGGTATCCAGGGTTGCACTCGAAACGAACAATGGAGCCAGCTGAGAATTCGGACCCGATCCGCCTGCCGTATCTGGGCTCTGGGATGGAGCTGCACTGTGTATCACTGGTGCGTGGAACAGCTAGTGGACAGGAAACAGATCTCTAATCAAAATGGACCAGATGGATGCTTGGAAACACACCGGCTGGGTTTCAAAACCTAGTAAGTTGCCTTGACATTGTTACAAAACAAAGCAGACAAATGCTGTTCTTTTGAACTTTCTCTTCAGCAAGGAATCCTGAAAAAAATGTAACAAGGTTTCCACAAAAATATTGCTAACACTTTACAATAAGGTTCCATTTTTTTTTTTTTTTTTACATTAGTTAATTACATTAGATAACGTGAACTAACAATGAAAAATTGAATGAATTTAAAGAGAAGTAAGACTTTAGTTTAGGGACCAATTCTCGCTGTTAACTAGTCGCTTATAATTAACTAGTCAAATGCATATTACTAGCATATTGGCAGTTTATTAGTACTTATAAAGCACATATTAATGCCTTTTTCTGAATACCTAAACTTAACAACTACCTTACTAACTATTAATAAGCAGCAGATAAGGAGTTTATTGAGGCAAAAGTCATAATTAATAGTTAGTTAATAGTAAGAATTGGTCCCGAACCGGAAGTGTGACCAAAGGATACATAGACAAATAATTAATGTTCCTAACACACAACTCACAGAAAACTCGACTCATTATTGGATACCAGTTTTCCATTACTATGTTGCTAAAATAATGTCCATTTCTACTTTTGATAGTTTAAAAACAAATGGACATGTTTGTATCTATACTTTTCAGTTTTGCATGAATCAAAAGCAACAGTTTTGTCTTTATAATTGCACATATGTAGCTTTTGAAACACAGATAACCACATTTGTAACCTATTGTATGTTCACCAGTGCAGCGGTGTAGACTGTGACTACTTTAGCACTCTTTTTATAGAAAACCCACATATATATATATATTTATCTAGCACACCTGTATAAGCATCTTCATGACCCCAACACAGAGAACTTTGCTGTTTTTGCTTGCAAACATCGTAGCAACTTGGTCGTTTTTTTTCTGTTTGTGCCTTAACTTTCATCTGATGGCTGTGAATATATAGGAAGAGGCTGGTGGGACCATCCACCATCACCTGGATGCCTCCATGAGCCAAATGAACTGTCCTAACTGTCAAAGAACATTTCTCATACACCCGCTGTTCTCTCTGCGCCCATTGCTGTACACTATAAAACGGCGAGGAGAGATATAAAGAGACATAGCAGGCTTGCCGCGGTCTGCGCTGTGAGTGTGTGCGCACGCTGATGCGGCTGTGAAAGATTTCTATTGTATCTTTTTATAAGGCAGCTGATAAAGGGAGTTAAAAAGCGTACTGTAATTTATACACTAATTTATGACGTCTTTTAAAACGAGGGAAAATGCCTTGCATGTCCTGCGGCGCACTGCTGCTGTCTGGGGAGTTTGACACGTCAGGGGTGAATCATTTAAAGGAACAGTTCACCCAAAACTAATTTACTCACCCCAATGAGCAATACATTTGTTAAAGTATTTATTAATCTATGTGGTAACACTTTAGAATAGGGAACACTTATTCACTATTAACTGCGACTTCTCCCTCAGTAAACTCCTAATTTGCTGCTTATTAATAGTTAGTAGGTTGTTAGGTTTAGGTATTCGGTAGGATTATGGATGTAGAATAAGGTCATGTAGAATAAGGCATTAATATGTGCTTAATTACTACTAATAAATGGCTAATATTCTAGTAATGTGCATGCTAATAAGCAAGTAGTTAAGATACCCTAAAATAAAGTGTTACCATCTTAGTTAACATTAGTTAATAAAAATACAGCTGCTCATTGTTAGTCCATGTTAGCTCAGGTCCATTGACTAACATTAATAGATACAACTTTCATTTTAATAATGTATATGATATAATAATAAACTAAGATTAATAAATGCTTTAGAAGTATTTGTCATTGTTAGTTAATGGAATATTTAATTGGGTGTAATACTTAGTTTTACCAATTATCCAATTCAATAGGGACGAATTCTCACTATGAACTAGTTGCTTATTAGCATGCATATTACTAGCATATTGACTGTTTATTAGTACTTATAAAACACATATTAATGCCTTATTCTGCATGACCATATTTTAGATCCCTTAATCCTACTCCATGCGGAAACTTACCAACTACCTTACTAACTATTGATTTTCAGTTGATTTTGATTGCCTCCATTGTCCTCATTTGTGAGTCGCTTTGGATAAAAGCGTCTGCTAAATGACTAAATGTAAATGTAAACTATTAATAAGCAGCAAATGAGGAGTTTATTGATGTAAAAGTCATATTAATAGTTAGTTAGAGACCTTTTTGTAGTTAGTAATAGTGAGGATTGGTACCCAAACTAAAATGTGACCATATGGAATATATACACTGAAATACTAAAACCAAAGTGGCAAAAAAAGGATGGGGAGAGGGGGAAAAAAATACTGAGAATGAGAATAGCGCAGAAATCATTCTCCCATTCGTCTTTACTCAAAGCTAAATGCTTTACAAATTATATAAAATTGAAGCCTCTTCCTCATTTGACTCTATTGTGTATTGGTTATGACATTGTGATTGCGGCTGTTAACTTCTCTGTGTGAAATATAAAGGCTATTTCCCTCAGTAAGCGCGCTCACGCATACTGATCAGCAGGCTGCCCCGGCGCTTCAGAGGCGTGATTTCACCCTATACACGGTGCCAATATATTCACAACGCAAACACAAAGGCTAGAATGTTTCGGATTTGAAGATTAAAAACAAAGCCTTGGCTCTGCACAAGGACCTGTTATTGACTGAAAGTTGAGTGCTCGCTTACCTTGGTAAACAAAATGAAAACCTTTGGCGGACGGGCCGCTTTTTGCGCTGAATCTCAACATGATTTGGTTTGAGATGGCCAAGGGCAAGGTTTCTCCTGCAAAAACACAATAGGGCAGATGTTAAAGTCTCTTAGAGTTGCTTGTGGAGGCGAATGTGCCGCAACAAACTAGTCTTAAGGTAGCGTAGATGACAGATGGCTTAATAACTCGAATCAGCCTCCGGGGCAAGGGTGGAGAGAGCAGGTCAGCAACAAGGGGCCTAAAACTGATGGATATCCAAATAAATACTCAAGCTGTCTGCAGCATGTTCAAAGATGCAGCGGGTAAATTAAAAAAATTAAATTAAAAAATCCCCAACCTAAAGGATGACTGACTTACCCTTGAGCTAAACTTTGAGCGTTCAGATCCAAAATCAAAGCATACTTTTACAAAGTCGTATGCAAAGGAAGAAACAGAGTGCTGATATAGATGGCGCCTGAAACACTACAGTTGAGCCTTGAGGGTTAAACACTCTAACTATGAATTGAGTGGCCTGTCAGGATTTCTAGCCCACTGCTCACAAAGCTGAGATTATATGAATTTACAGCACTTCCCATGGGAATATAGTATTGCACAGCAGACCATGAAGATATACAGTATAAAACTGCCACACAAACTGTTTGTGTCCAATGGCTGTCATCAATCCTGCAAAGACTGAGGAATTAGCAGTGATTTTCGTTTTCTTGGCATTTTATTACCTTTCACTCAATAATACCGACAATAATTCAGCAGGAAGCTGCAAGGATGACATTTTCTCTTTAGAAGGAATTAAACAAGTCTGGAACCAATGGGCGAAAATGACAACATGGAACGCAAAAAAAGTATTTGGACAATTAAACCACACTTAAAAATGTATGAATGCCATGAATAATAATAATAATAATAATAATAATAATAATAATAAATTAAACAAATAAAAATAAAAAAATCAAACCAAGCAGCATTCATTTTAAAGATAGCACAAACTTACTTTTCAAGGTTTGTTAGTTTTGAAAATATAAATTAATAATAATAATACTGTTCAGAATCATGGGGGGAGAAATGGACACTGGTTGTCAGACGTTAATGGTTCACGTTGATAGTTATGGTGATTCTATTCTCATTCATGGTTTCATTATCAGTATTATTTAATGTATTTTATAGAGCATTTTATCGGACAAGAATTTAGACCGTTTTCTTTTTTTTTGGAAGAAAAATATTGCTAACTAGAATATACTGCAGATGACCCCAAAGCCATTGGAGACATGGCTAAAACACATTTCATTCGGTCTTTCAGGTTGACGTACATGTCCAAAAATGTATTAGTGTTTTTTTATGATTTTATGAAAATATTACTTGCAAATGAAGACTTAATTTGCCTGAGACTGAGTGAGTGTGTGTTCACTGTCTGTGTATGTAACAGAAATTTCAAACAATAAAAAAACGAATACAAAACTATTAGCAACTATCCTGTCTCTCCCCCTCTGAAAGGAGCCATTAAACTTCACTTGAGACCTCCTTCACTGCTCAGTTGTCTGCACAATGGTCTTTTTACAGATTTGAAAAGCCATACATGCCTGTTTGCTTCTTTTCAAAAAGTTTTGTGCATTTCAAAGCAAACTCAAAGCAACAAAACTGGTGTGAATGTAAAGCTATTACTTACCGGAATGAGACCCAGCCAGGGAGCTTAGCAGCCTAGAATTCTGATTGGGCCCATCAAATAGCTCAACGGAGTCATTCATGGCTGTCTGGAAATAGGCAAATTGCCCAAACACCACTGAGGAAACAAAATGAAACGCACTGAGCGTGTTACTATCACCACTGCTGGGAAGAGACGCTAACAAAAGAAGTACAATGAATTAAGACATAAATTCACATAAATTTCCCATCGACATGCTTGCTTCAGGTCGATGGTTTTATAAGTGTCCATAATATGCAGTCTGCACAGAAGTATGTATAACTTAGTCACATCAAAATGGCATTTGACATTAAATTCATTATAATAGAAGATTTTGATTACAGAAATCATGCCGTGAAATTGTGAATAAAATGTGCGTACTGTAAACCCATACCACAGAACGCCACTTTTAGTGTTGCAGTAGCTCTGTTCTGAAAACAATGACCTGTGTGGGAATTAAGTTCGAGAGCTTGTGATTCACAAACAAATGACTGAGCTCGTTCTTTTTAATGAAACGAACCAAATGACTCACAAATCAAACTTATGTTGATTTACCACAAACACATTGGGAATTAAGTCAGTGTATTTACTGACCTTGTTGTTCATGTAAGCATATATAGCTAAAGATTCAGCTCAAACTTTCATAGTAATAATATTTTTTTTTCCTTTCTCACTGTTACTATAGTGTTATTATCATTGTACTCTTAATACCTCAAAATCATGAACCTCTGTCTGTAATGTATGCATTATGTGTATGTTTGGTCCTGTCTGGTGTCCATTCCCTCTGACCTGAGACCAGTGATGAAGCTGTGATTAAACGCATTGGCTTGCCAGAAAGGACACATGGTTCACGCGGTAGGGCATGAGAGACCAGGGAAATCACAGAGGCATGCTGTGCATGTCAGGTGCTGGTGTGAGAGCCAGCTAAGCAGAGAGGGGTGGAAAGGGGTCACCCGGGCCACTGCGACGACTCTATTATCTCTTCTGTAATGAGATGTCGGCCCTCGCTTCATACTCAAACAGCACAGAAAACCTGAAGGGTCGCTGCTAGTGGCTCTGTAAATATCAGTTTGACTGGATTTCTGTCGGCTCACAAACACTTCAACAAACTTCAAATGTTAAAACTTTACTTACACTCCTATTTGCTATGCATGAACTGCAAGGATTTGCAATGGATTTAGTAAACTGTGGTTTTGTGCATTTGTGGATATAAAGTATGGCCAAAATATATATTTCTGTCAGGACCACTATCGTCAAAGTCGATTGACAATTAGCATACAGTTTGGATTGGCGGTATGGTTCTGTTCTGGGCAAGAACTCCCTGCGCATCCATGCAGCGTAGCATGGAAAAGAGCAGGGAGAGCAGCGATAATCCCCCAAGAGTAAACAGAACAGAACCAACATATACCGTATTGGCCCGAATATAAGACGACCCTGATTATAAGACGACCCCCCTTTTTCCAGATGTACCTTTTGGAAAAAGGCTTTTTAAAAACCAAATCTTGTTTTTTCTCAGTAAAACACATTTTGTCTTCAATTATATTCATATTGCATATTTTTCCTATTTTAATTTTTGTTTTGAAAGTATGGTAAAAACTGGTAAAATGTACCAACAATCACATTTAAAAAATATACACTTTTTGATATACCATAAAAATAAAAAAAAACAGGTAGCCCATCTGAATTAGGACATTTAGGCTATCCATCTAATAGTAGCCTACCAAAATCTTATTAACAGCAGAAGTTAAATCTTACCGTAGTCTTCAAATCTGGGTACTGTCTTACGTTTTAAAATCACAAAGGCAGTTTGGTCCCATCAGGCTAACGTGACAGTCACGACTCATGCAGCTGTAAGGTTTTCTTTTTCTTTTGTTTTTACTCGCGATCTTTACAACACGCATTACATTACGTATTTCATGGCACACTCGTTTTATGCGTATTTGGCGCCACCTAGTGTTGTGGGTGTATTATTGACATGTCAAAGTCTAGACCCTGAATATAAGACGACCGCGTTTTTTCAGATGTATTTCCAAGAAAAAAACATCGTCTTATATTCGGGTCAATACGGTAAGTATTGCAGATATCGTTAAAGTTCAATAATTTAATGTATCATTTTAGAAATTAGTCTGATTCAAAGGGGAATCAGAAGGCCGAATCTTGACTGGACGACAGGAGGAGCTGGGGATGGAGAAGGGCAATTAGCTATTGAGCTGAAGGACCTTATATATGCATGCTGTGGTAGGTGTTGTATAGGTAGACGTGAATCAGCTGAGAGTCAGCTGATGCAAGCTTGACTAACATGACCTGCCAGAACTAACTCTACGCTTGATTTAAGCAACTCACACTAATGGGATATTATACATACTTCCATAGTGTCTTTTTCTTTCTTTCTTTCTTTCTTTTAATAGGATAACAGGATATGTTAAAAGGATTTTGGATAACATTTGCTAACGTGGTTCTGTTTTATGAATAACCAAGTTAACATGTTGCTGAGTAAAAAATATAATATAGTATAGTAATATAGCTATCCAAGTTGAGTTTATATGCTAACTAATCAATTAGCTTAGCTAATGGATCATCCAAAATTGCTGGTGTTAGCGAACTACATCTGTGTTGAAAATTATTGCCTTTCACATAACTATACTTTTTCATATTACCTTAATATAGGCAGACATTTAATGTAAATTACTATGTGAATTTCCTGAGTTTATGCTCTTTGCTTTATTATTAATTCAATATAATTAATTATGGATTCACAATGTGTGAGCATGTTGTTTTGGCAGGAAGAGCTTTACATCGGTTTATATCTACAGACTGAGGACTCACCACTTGAATGAAATGGATTATTCAAGGTAACTGAGTTATACTTATATAACATACTAATTAACTTTCCAGTACTATATTTGTGATGGCAATGTTACCTCATCTAACTCTAATGTTCTTTTGCGAACGAGAACAAAGTGAGGACAGAAAATTGAAAGATATCAGTTCTTATATCCTTACATATGTTTTATCTGTTAATAAATTGTTAATTAATTTACAATGCAGACATTGAATACAAATATTTTTATGCAATATGACTGGCAGGTTTATGTTCAGATATATATTTTTAAAAACATTGTGAGTATTTATGCTTCACAAAATGAATTG